ACCACAGCGGCGGGGCGTTCTTTAACGAGAGCCTAATTGAAGTGCATAGGTCTCAACAATTTTCACCTCCATCAGTAAATTGAGGCAGCAACGCCGGACTGACTGAAAAGTATAGATGGCGACATTCACCTCCCCTTTGTTCTCTCATTCTCGTCGCCATTACTTACCTTTTGCACTCCTTGTTATGGACACGTTTATTCACTTCTTCCTTTATACGATATTGTCACGGGGTCGTGACGTGGACGAAGGAAGCCGATGATAGATCGAAGTAAGATTACAGCGATATACACTGGCACCCGTAGCGGCGAACAGGGCATCGACCGTCGATGAACTGAGAAGCGCGTCGGCATTTATACACGTGCCGTCGAATATTCCACCGTTATCGCTAGCGGCCACCGAGGTTCCAGAATAATCTTTAATGTTCGCCGAGTGGGCGTAATCTTAGCGAAATGATCTATACAGTCCCGAAGCTTCTCGAACACTGCAGGCGCGGTTCGCGCTGATAATTACGTACAGTGTTGATTGATTGATATGTGTGGTTTAACGTCCCAAAATTACCATATGATTACGAAAGACGCCATAGTGGAGGGCTCCGGAAATTTTGACCACCTGCAGGGTTCTTTAACGGGCATCCAAATCTGAGCACACGGGCCTACATTTCCGCCTCCATCGGAAATGCAACCACCGCAGCCGGGATTCGACCCCGTGACCTGCGGGTCAGCAGCCGAGTACCTTAGCCACTAGACCACTGCGGCGGGGCTTATTCTGTCTCTTTACTCATTGTGTGTCCCTCTCATCGTTCTTCTCAACACACGTTTATCTAAGTTAACGATGTTAGAACCAACATTATATTTGCGATTATTCAAGGCACCTGAGGTAGACTAGCACTTGTTAGATCTTGTGACTTTACAATTTGCCCCTGTTTGCTCTATAGCCTGAGCTTTAAAATGTGCCGACGCATCGTATGACGATGCGATCAAGTGCATGTTTCTCACTATTGCATGGATACGTTACGCTACTTTTAGCGTTTCTATTTGCTTAATTAGGTTTATTTATTGACTATCTTTACAAGCAACGAAGCTAGGCAGAAAATTCCAATGAGTATGTTGTAAATAGGTTTGAAAAACTTCCCATTAGACAGTTCTTTTTGTTTATACTACAAGTATTAGTGCTTTTTGTTTACTACATGCATGTATCCCCGTATGTGAAAAAAAAAAAAAAAAAACAGCCCTTTGCGATAGGTGAAGAGACGCTGGAAGTTGTAAAGGAGTATGTCTATTTAGGACACGTATACATAGTACGCGTAGCCTAATCATGAAGTGAAATAACTATAGGGTGAATCACATTTGGCAAGCATTCTCAAATCATGAATGTTAATCTGCTACTAATCCTCAAGAAGAAGGTATATAAAAGCTGCATCTTGCCAGTATACTTACCTACGGAGCTGAAACCTGGAGGCTTACAAGGAAGGTTCAGCTTAAATTGAGGACGACTGCAGCGAGCGATGGAAACGAAAATAATAGGTGTGACGTTAAGCGACAAGAAGAGGGCAGAGTGGGTCAGAGAACAAACCAGAGTTAAAGATATCATAGTTGAAATCAAGAAGAAATGGACATGGGCCGGGCACGTAGCACAAAGGCAGGATAACCTCTGGTCATTAAAGGTGACTGGATTCCCAGAGAGGGTAAACGCACGAAGGGGAGACAGAAAGTTAGGTGGGCCTGTGAGATTCAAAAGTTCGCAGGTATAACATGGCATCGGAAAGCACAAGACCGGGTTGATTGGCGGATCATGGGAGAGGCCTTTGCCCTGCAGTGGGCGTAGTCAGGCTGAGGAAGATGATGATGATGTGTCCGCGAAATGAAAAAAAGGAAAATGCCACTGGACATGCTCGCTTGTGGGCTGAAGGCGCCGTGATGCCAGTGCTAACCGTGAGATCAGTGACTGCATCATCAGTGATCAGTAATGAAGCGTAATTGCTCCAGCCGCTGGAGTATATATGGCTGATCGAGGTGCGGGCAGCCGCAGTTGGTTCACAGATCATCTTTCATAACGAAAAGTAAGGTTCAAGACGGGGCAGTGATATGAACTAGTGGCACAAAGAACGTTCTGCGTTGATGTTGATCTCACGACGTAACAGCGAATCTGCATCATCGTGTCCACCTAGGAAACGCCAAGGCAGAATTACCGTGGCAGTTAAAACCGAATAAGTTAAGTGGGAGAGTAAATTGGCAGAAAGAGCGCCTATTGAAAACTGGAAATGTCACTCCTGATTGATGCAGGCTTTGCTGTACTTCAGAAAAAAACAAAACAAAAACGCCAGGTCTGCACAGAACGCGCCGAACTGTCTGCAGCGAAAGCTGGAAGAGCGGCCTTGCAGAGCCTTTTCGAAACACTCTTTATAGGTAACTATCACGCACACTTGCGGGTACCCACTATGCCATTAATCATTGTGTAGTAGGCAGGCATTCACTATAGGCCATCCTTCATCATTATTCGAAGAAACGTGGTATACCTGCTGCACACTTTCCAGGTACTTTAGGCAATTTTTTTTGGTGCTGTGCTTGACGACGATGGAGAATTATCGCAGAAGCGTTTGCAATCCCCACAATCTCCCACAGTGGGTATGCGCCACAGTTAATATGTGAACAATATCGAGCTTTTCTAAACGGTTGGAGCATTCGACGACCCACTTTTTGTGCAATTCGTATTATGTGACACCAGATTGTTCCTTTGCTGTTCTAGAACACTTCATTACTCATGTTAACGCGATATCTTTTCAGACATGAAGTCTGCCTAAGGCCAGTTTGTAATGGAGTTCCAAGCACCGGCGTGGCTCAGTGGTATATAGAGTACTGGCCTGGCACGCAGGAGACCCGGGTTGGAATCCCATTGTGTCCTTAAGGTTTTTTGTTTACTGAGTTTTTTTCTTATTCGTGCAATAGTGGATACGGACACCGGCGGTGGAGGCGGTGGCGGTGGCGGACAACTACGGCGTGCACGTGAACAGATCTCATGAGTCATGGCAGGTCTCGCTGTAAAAAAAAAAAAAAGTAGCCTAATAGATGAACATTCGTCGATCATTGAATATTTGGGCTTGAGAGTCGACTGTCGATTGTGTTATAACGCATTTTGTGTGCGTTTCTGTTCAGATTTTGTTCGTTACATACAATAAAAGATTTTCGCGGCGTATTTGTATACAAAGAGAAGACAGTATCTTCATAACTCTTTTATTGTGTCAATAAATATTAAAATAGTATATGTACAGAAAAGTGAGACAATGACAAGAATGGCGAGCTTTGAGTTTTGCATTATTGACAGCGCCGTTGTTGAAGACACCTTGATGCATTCGTTGGCGAGACACGGTAGCCTCGGATTGATGATACTTCGGCACAGGTCACAATTTAAGAAAAAAAAACACTCCAGTAAAACAACTGATAGGCATCAATACAGGTAAATTGTTTGAGCAAGCATGTATGTTCACAGTTTTTTTTATTTAAAAGCACGTGTAATCTCCGAGCTTCGAAATGCACAGTTCTAATAGGAGGTTTCAATGCGCCGGTAACAATGGTTGGATAATAAATCAATAACAATGTTTGCTTTTCTGCATTAAAATTGGACTACCGCATGGGCACATAGGTTGAATTGAAATTGATCAGTGATGAGCAATGTTCCACCTATAACAAGATAAATAAAGTTACCTAACTCTGAGTCTAATTAACAGTACTAGCTGCGGAAAATTATGTTGATCTATGCTGAATAAAGCGTAATGAGGCCGACAATAATTAGTAAGAGCAGCCTGCGAGAAGTGGTATATATCACAACGCACAACTCTATTTCTTTGTCGCATATATAGATGAAACATCGATCCTACAGCAAGAAAGTTGCAGAAATATGTTGGGCTCTATGTAGTGTATAGACTTCTGAGCGTCCATAAAACTTGCGCTTCAAAAATAGTTTTCCTCAAATCTGAGCACACTTGGACCCTCTGTTGAAATGTAATGCGCAGGCGCACGTAGGTGTACTGTACAAAATTGCGAGTAATGTCGTGTTTACTTTGTGCCGCAACGAGTCTGCGTATTTGTACAAAACTATATTATGCTATATACAAGCTCCGTTCACTTTGTACAGTGGCGCTATATAAATATGTCATAAATTATCAAACTTACTCGTGCTTTCAGCGTACCCATAGCCCCTTCACTCGAACACCGTAATAAAAGACATTACTTTTAGAATAGTTGCATGAATGGAACTGAGGTGCAGGTCTCACATGTCGGTTACTCGCCTAGCTATTTAAATGTGATATCAATATCAAAATTGCATGCGTCGCTGGTGCAAAAAAGAATGTTAAAATGGCGATACACTTCTGCCAATTACAGGGAGTACGACACCCATTAGAGTTATTTTAGTCCGACAAATAATTAAACGCTAGATAGATGAAAGACCGAACTGTTGTGGAGGCATGTCACAATTACCAGTGTTCAAAGAGAGTCGAGTTACTAGGCTTTCCTGCAGTGCACACGAATAGATATGGCACAACTAAAATATCACTTTCTTTCTTCTTTTTCGCGAAATGTTCCCACTGTAGATCCAAGCAGCGGCCAGCTGAATGTAGTTTTCTGCATTGCTCACAAAAAGGGCATTTCGGAAAAAAATATCTTGCAGCGCATCTCTTGTTTGTATAGAACTATATTTCATGTTTGTAGGCAGTGGTAGGCACCGTCAACATACTGAGGCGCTAGTAGCGACGTCTCGGGGCGTGTACGCTCTGCCCAGCCTAAAGCTCACCTTCTGTAATCACGTGACAACTAAACACAGCAGCTGCAAAGCAGCCTCCGTACACAGCGCGTCGGAGAGCCTGCACCGCGCGCGGGCAGAGCGACGTCAGCGCGGCGACGTCGCTCCAAGCGCCTCACTATGTCGACGGTGCCTACCCCTGTTTACAAACATGTATTATGTCTGTAGGCACTCTTTTCACATAAATAGGAAGTCCGGCGCACCGCCGAAGAAGTAGGGAAGGCCAGGAAGCAAGGCTCTCTCGTGCGTCTTGACGTGCTTCTTGAGGTGGTCCTTGCGGCCGAACGGCTTCTGACACAGCGGGCACGGGAAGGGTCGCAGTCCCGTGTGGATGCGCTTGTGTCGCGTCAGCTCTTCGTTTCTCGTGAAGGTCTTGCCGCATCCGTCGTGCTCGCAGGCAAACGGCCGCTCCCCTGCGCCACAAAGAACAGGCCCGAACATTGCAGTCGCTTCCGCTGGTTACGATGGTGTATAAACACGTGCCTGAACGCACGGGCTTCTGACCCAGTAACGATTACGACTACTTTTGTAATTGTACTTTCCAATACAGTGCGCCAAGGGAAATGAACTTCAAAGGGAAGCATCAAGCTCTCATATCATTTCCGGGTGGCACCTTCAATACAGCGTCTCAGAGCAGCCTTTATTCTACGCAATTGCCCACTCCCTATGCATTTGTATCTACGGCTTTGTACAACTACTGTGTATAGTATTGATCAATATATATAATATATATATATATATATATATATATATATATATATATATATATATATATATATATATAATGTGTGTGTGTGTGTGTATGTGTGTGTGTGTGTGTGTGTGTGTGTGTGTGTGTGTGTGTGTGTGTGTGTGTGTGTGTGTGTGTGTGTGTGTGTGTGTGTGTGTGTGTGAGGACATGATAATAATATCTGGGTTTCAACAACCGAACACACAATATAAGTGGAGCAGTGGCGAAAAAATTTCAAGGGGAGGGCGGGCCTGGTGTGTTATTCCCTAACTTCGCCCCTGGTTCCCAACTTTAACTAATGAAGTGGTCACTAGAATATATATGCCTATTTTTTTTTTCAAGGAATACGATGTCAAACCAGCTGTATACTATAGTGGCATAACAATTGCGGAAACTCTTACGCTAGTGACAGCGCACTTAGGGCGAAGTATCTAGTACGCATAATGGGAAAACGTAAATGTGTGCAGTATGCGAGTGTATGGTGGGCTTGTAATGCTAGCGTATTGACGAGGTCGTTATTTGAGTGTAGTTTTTGCACGACCGTAGCATCACGAAAAAAAAATGCAGCAGAATAAGATACGCATTTCTGGTACGGACACAATAAAGTCTATAATTGTCAGTTAAAGTATACTGAGAATAAACATAATCACTTCAAAGGTTTAATGATTCTGCAGACGTATGTATTCTGCAATTTAACAAGTAACCGACATGCTTGTTGTTACATATATAAAAAAACGTGCGAAACGTTCAACCTCGTTCTTTGTGTGATTACTAAGTATACAACGTACTCAGAAAACTCTCGACAGGCTTTTTACAGCCTTCCGCCTCTAGACGCTAAAATGCGAATAGGGTATTCTGTTAAATTAGCGCTTACAAACTTTGTTTTGCACTGATGATTACACCAGCAAAATTTATAATCCTACGCCAACTGAATGAAAAATGCATGTTACGTAACTTATAGTGACACATTTTTAACTATATTTTGTATAGTGATTCGGATCGGAAAGAGGATAAACACATAAACACAGACACACTCCAACAAAAATGAACAACACACGCGTTTTCGCTATACATATAACATTTTGCTTGTGCTTGTGACTGCAAGCCTATAGTATTTTAACATGTCACGTGGCGTGCATATCGTAGATACAGAAATATTTCTCTTCTCGCTCATTTCATTATGTATAATCATGCAGCTTCATTGCATGTTCGCACAGAGCACGCGTTATAAATAAATTACAGTAATTTTTTGAACCCAATTATTGTTATGTTAATAAAGTTAAAGATGCGCCGCAAAGCAGGCACTGAACACGGGCAGTTAAAATGATGCAGCCAGTTTCTTCCCTGTTGCAGAATTAAATGTTGGACGATAGTGCTTGATGAGTGTAAACCAGTAACGTCACCTCAGGATTTTTTTGTGAAGTTTTATTAGCTACGAATATTTTTTTTTTCGTTGTTACATTATGACGTTAATGTTACCGCTCTCGCTCTGTACGCTCTGTACGAATTCGCTCCTATAATTCTTGCGTCGTGAGGGCGGTCGCTCATCAATATGCACCCACATGAATCTGTTTTCTCAGATTGTATCGCTGAAATTTCTACGGTAACTTATAAAAATGTCGCCATATAACGGGCCGGTTCACGTGGCACCTGGTACTGGTATTGGTACATGGTATCTGGTATCTGGCACGCCGTGCACGTGCTCATCATATGCATATCTTGGGATGTATGTATGCAACATTTGCTTTCACGACCACCGATAGATGCTTTATGAAAGGTCTTGCAGTTAGACATTTCTAAGTCCCGCTGATTGTCTTATAGAGAAATTGGGTCTCGTGTGTAACTCTGCCTTCATGTCATGTATTCCCGGTTCTTTATGCATCACGAATATTATACATATACCGTACATTGAATCGATCTACAATTCGTCCGATTCTTGCCATGAATGCCCTGGAGGATTCGTATAATGGCCTTATTGAAGCTCTTTTTTTGTTGTTGTTGAAAACTCGCCATTAAACGACATGTTCTCATTTAGTAAAAATTTTCTAGTGATATATGATTTGAAAGATATGTTTGTTAAAAAAATCAATACTAATTGCGCAGGAACCAAACGCAATCTGAAGTTTCTGACACCGAAAGTGTTTTATTTCTTAATTTTCTAGTTTTTTTTATGGGTCATAAGATAACTTGTGTTGTGAACGTATAGGACTTCACTGCTGGAGAAATGACTCTACACTCCGAGCCCCGCCGCGGTGGTCTAGTGGCTAAGGTACTCGGCTGCTGACGCGCAGGTCGTGGGTTCAAATCCCGGCTGTGGCGGCTGCATTTCCGATGGAGGCGGAAATGTTGTAGGCCCGTGTGCTCAGATTTGGGTGCACGTTAAAAAACCCCAGGTGGTCGAAATTTCCGGAGCCCTCCACTACGGCGTCTCTCATAATCATATGGTGGTTTTGGGACGTTAAACCCCACAAACCACTCTACACCCCGAAAACAAAAAAGAAAGTATTCGAGGAGCAGTTTTGCTACACAACATTAATCGTGATCTCACTTGCTCGCGTTTACTTTCTTGAAAACCCTGCGCTGGCCACTTTCCTATCGGGAATGCACACTGATAACACGCGCGCCGTTCGCGACCGCAAACTACCGAAACCGTTCTGATAGCGCAAAAAATGTACTGAAAGTAGATGATGATTATTTGTATGCATGTAGAAGAAACACTCCTCAAATGCTCGATTTTTTTGTAGAGTCAATTAATAATCGTTCTTCAGAAGTTATACAAGTCTCTGAACCGAGCTCTTTAAACTGCCTAGGAAATGTCCTTGTGTCAATATGATGGCCTCGGAAAAAGTGGGAACGAAAAAAAAAATGGTGTTGTCAAAGCCTATTTCAAAACTAAGTGCGCGCTGGCTGAAAGTCGCTAGGTTGAAGCTGCAAAAAAGTTTCAGATACAGCTTTTTTGCATCTTCCTCATAGCGGGCTGCCTATACCAAGTTTCTTCACTATGTCGGCAAGTTAGAGAGCAATGTATAGGGAGTGATTTTTCAAACAGTGAGGTGAAAAGAGACGTTCTATACCCTTGAAATCAACTGAACCAAATCCCGAACCCAGCGTGAATGAAGACATCATAGGGTCCCCTTATCTGTTTTTCAACTCAAGCTTCACCACAACACGTTTGCGCGCGGTGGCTGTGCGTCTGTCGGTTGTGATAACGTCAGATACATACACTAGGTACCGTGTACTCCCAGTAAATAATAGGCTTGGCAGTAAATAGTGAAAAATCAAAGCGAAGGAGCGTGTGCAGTTATGTATACAGGCCGAGGTGAAGTGTCTGTGTCAAGTTTTTCGCCTCCGCAGCCATTTAACAGCTACCTGACAAATATACGGCTTCATCAAGCGATATAGGGTATAGTTTAAATATGTGAAGCTAAAATATATGAGCAGATTTGCCAGAAGTGCCCCTGTCATGCGCTTTTAGTATGCTAGATGCGTTACACAAGATGCCCAGGCTTCAATAAACAATTCCCGTTTCAAACTTTTCCTCCGCTCTTATGCCATTTGGATGCACGCGATATCGCAATACACATGTATAGTGTCAAACGTTTGTTAAACGTTTGACTTGGTTAAGAATAATAAACTGCCTTTTGAGAACTCTAATGTCACAAGTTATCACTATCCTAGGTTCGTCATTACCAGAGAACATCAAGATTCAAGTTTCATTTTTAAATTTCGCACCGGAATGTCTGTACTTGGCGTAACAAATTTCAAAATGTATTTTTTGTAAGTTAGCGACATTGGCTTGATGAAATTTTTTTGCAACTTAGTATGTTATAGGTCGATGGAACCCACAAGTGAAAATGAGCTTTAGTCTTATCAATCGGAAGCAACGTGAAACCCAGTAGTCGCCTTCAAAATTTATGACGTTATGGTGCTTGGTGCGGGAATCTTAAGGTGGCGCCTACACCTCCTAATCGTTTTCGGGATCGTGAAATAGTACTTTACTAATACGCGAAACATCGTTTTGCTCTTATGTGTCCATTTAAAGATATTTAGCACAGACCCGTCTGCCAAAGCAAAGTATGCAGATCTATAGATAGAAGGAAAGCCAGATTGGACATGCATATACATCACCGATACACAGAGGAAAATTAATCAATTGAAACGTGAAAACTTGGGAGTAGCATGCACACACTCATTCAGCGGAACCGTGAGGATTAAGTCAATTGCAAATGACTGACGAACTAAGCCGTTAGAGTGAGACATTGCATGACGAAACTATGGGTACCATATATAGCACGACCATGATTACCATTTAAATATAAATACTTGTGCAAAATGACACCGTTAGAGAATCGTAAACATATTGGGCGAGCAGCGTTGCTTATTGGTGTTAACGAAACTAAGCAAGAACCACTATGACAACGGCTCACGACGTGTGGACCACCCCGTGTGCTGTGCCACAGCGCTTCCCTTTTTCATTTCGTGCGAAGGTCAGCGGTTGAACATACCCGTGTGGATCCTGACGTGACCTTTCAATTGTCCATTGTTGGAGAAAGACACCTTGCAGTGAGGGCACTGGAAGCGCTTAGGTCTTTGCTTCTTCGCCTTCCATCGGGCAGCCAGCTCTTGCTGGAGGAACGCGGGCGAAGATGCGTGATGGTGCGCAGCGGCGGCTGCAGCGGCAACGTCCCACGCGGTCATCGGGAATGCTGGCTGCATTGCCGCGGGCAGCAGGTACACTGGCTCTGGCTGTACGATCCTGGGCTCGGCGCTCGGCTGCTGGGCCCAGGGCCGGAAGATGGGCGACGCGCGCTCCTTGCCAGTCATGGCTCGCTCTGTCCCTTCGGTCGGGAGGGCGACTCTGCTCGTCGACCACCGGCCTGGGGATTGGCCCCCGACGGGACAATGCGCCGGGGACGGGCGTGAAGCAGGCGGAGACTCGGGAGAGAAGGGGGGCCGCTGCCCGCCCCTCTTTAGTCGGGGGCTCGGGCTGACGTCATGGACCCCAGCGGGGGGCTCTCCCCTCGCGGAGGGGGGTAACGGGCCGAGTGTTTAGGGAGAGCGTCGCGCGCGCGGGTTCTGATGGCCGTCATCATGGGAGGATGCTGCTCCCCGCTCCTTAATTCAATAAAACTGCGCCAATCCAGGGCCCGTCGGCGGAGAGGGGGCGCGCCCTTCCACCCGCGGCTGCTCACCCCTCGAGGGGAGGGCGATTGCATCGCGGCTCCCGCTATAGCAGGCCGTGCTTTGACGCCGACCGACACTGGACCGTCTGCTGTGTGATAACGAGGCCGGCCGAGGACGCGCTTCTGTGAGACGTTATGGAGTTGGGTGTGATATATTCAAGTGCGTAATTCATTAACTAGCTCACACACACACACACACACACACACACACACACACACACACACACACACACACACACACACACACACACATATATATATATATATATATATATATATATATATATATATATATATATATATATATATATATATATATATATATATATATATATATATATATATATATATATATATATATATATATATAGAGAGAGAGAGAGAGAGAGAGAGAGAGAGAGAGATAGGTGGCCAATACCCACTGTACCGGTCCTCACGCTTATGCTTAGCCATGGCTACTCACCTGTTGTAATATGTACATGTTTCTCTGTTTTGATTATGGTAAGCTTATTGAGGGCTACCAATATCTTAGAGATAATCGTCTTATATTTCCTCGGCCCACCAACGTTCAGGTAATCACGATAGCAATCATAACAATATTGCTAACTTGATTAATGGAAGATACTCGAACGCTCCGAGCCCAGTTGCGGCAACCGAATACAGTATACCCTTTCACAACACGAAGATGGCGAGTATACTTTATATACTTGTTCTTTGCGTAAAAAAAAAAAAAAAACATCATATACTCAGCATCCGCCCTGTGTTTTCTCTAATATCTGTCTATAAATCTGATTTCCTTGTTTTCGGTGCTGTGCAGCTATATTCTATTTTTATCATACAAGACATTTTTTTTTACCATGATCTGACTTCACAAGTTTCAAAAAATGTGTCCATTATTATTTAAAAATTACAGCAAGGAGACATCTGCGTGCTACCGGTGGCGTTCCTTTCACTGTGAAAGAAGGCATCTTCAGATGCGCACAAAATATAATTATGGCTCTAGATTTTTATTTTATTTTCTTAATTTATTGTATTACAAGTACCTAAATCGCCCATTGGGCATTGTGGTAGGGGGGTTAAAGTAGAAAGTAGAATACAAAACAGCAAAATTAAAAGCAAATAAATCGTGCATTACAGTATACAGGAGAAATCAACACTTGTAGTACAGCATTAACAGAAGTACAAAACACAGGATTATACGACGAAAGCAGTAATTATACATATAAAACTCAACAACCAAGAGAAGTACAAAGCCAACGTTAAATATATGGGTTATTTCAGCAGCTCAAAATGCTGTTTCAATGGCTGTTAGGAAATTAGAATAAGAGAGTATTGGTATTTTTAACGCATTCCAGTCACTAATAGAATTTGGAAAGAAAGAGTATTTAAGGACATTCAATCTACAGGTATATTCTCTAATTTTATATAAGTGATCTTTCCGTTCGGACATATAACTTGGCGTCTTTAAATACCGCTCTTTATTTAGCCCAGTCTTACCGTGATATATATTATAGAGAAATTTAAGTCTTTGAACTTTCCGTCGTCCACAAAGGGGTTCCCATCCCAAGGCCTGAAGAATTCCAGAAGACCTTATTCTAAAATCGTAGTTTCCTGTAACAAACCTAGCAGCCCTTTTTTGCACCGTCTCCAACTTTTCTTTTAGTACATTCGTGAAAGGGTCCCAAGAAACACAAGCATACTCTAAAATTGGGCGCACATTTGTAATAAACAGGGTTTGCTTGAGAGTTTGCGGCGCGTTGCTGAAATTTCTTTGGAAAAAATGAATTAAGCGCGAAGCCTTGGCTGTGATTAGATCTAGGTGACTGGTCCAATCTAGTGTTGCCGTGAATGTTACACCGAGATACTTAACTTGATCTACCTTTTGTACTGCGCAGGAATTTAAGTAATAAGACCTGGATACTACCTTTTTTGTTATTAAATTGCACATGAAAACATTTAGTTAGGTTCAAACTCATTTGCCACTGAGCACACCAAGACACAATCTTATCGAGGTCAGACTGAAGTACTGTGGTGTATAAAAAGCCGGCGCAGTGCGCCACTGGGGGGTCTTTTTCTTTTTTTTCCGTCGGCCGACGACTGTTCACGCCGCTGTTGCTGTGAGTTGTGTTTGGCCCTGTTTTGCTGGGCACAAGTTCGCCCAATAAACAGTTCGCCTGACACCGCCCTGACTCCTGCGTGCTTCCTCTCAAGTGCTGCGTGTATCACAACCTCGTGACATCTGGTGGAGGTGCTTCTCGGTCCATGTACCGTACGCCCCCGTCCAGCCGTGAGCCAAGCCCAAGCCGCCAAGAGGACGACGCCGACCCGGTCGTTCGAGTGAGCCGAAGACAACAAGGACTACCGCCCGAATACCTGCCGCTCCCCGACAAGGACAAGAAAACAAAGGCTGCTACGAAGCCGGCATCCACGATGACGGAAGCAAGGTCTTCGGCAACCGTGGTCGTCAACCAGCCCAAAGAGCCGCCTACCTTCCGCGGATCGACCTACGAAGACCCGGAAAGCTGGCTTGACATTTACGACCGCGTCACAGCCCTCAATAAGTGGGACCCGGACGACAAGCTGCGTCATGTGTATTTTTACCTGGAAGACGCCGCAAGGACTTGGTTCGAGAACCGCGAGTCAACGCTTCGAACCTGGGACGACTTCCGCGTTGCTTTCCTGCGCACCTTTGCAAGCGTCGTGCGGAAGGAAAGAGCCGCATCACTGCTTGAAACTCGGGTGCAGCTCCCCAACGAAAACGTAACGATCTTCACGAAGGAGATGACGCGACTTTTCCGCCACGCCGACGCCGACATGTCTGAGGACAAGAAGGTTCGCCTGCTTATGCGAGGAGTGAAGCAGGAGCTCTTCGCCGGACTGATCAGAACCCCGCCAAAGACGGTACAAGAGTTCCTCTCCGAGGCTACCACCATCGAGAAGACTCGTGAAATGCGGACCAGCCAATGCGATCGGCGCATGTCGCCAGACGTCGCAGAAGTCCGAGGACTCTGCCCCGACGACCTGCGCGAGACCATACGCGCTATTGTTCGTGAAGAACTGCGCCGCATGTTGCCATCGTCTCAGCCCCAAGTCGCCTCTCTCGAAGACGTAGTCCGCGAGGAACTACAGCGCTCACTGAGCGTTCCTGAACGGCCACAGCCCCAACCGTAGGCGATGACCTACGCCGCTACTGCACGACGACCTGTCGCCGCTCCTCGCCAACACCAGGACCCAACGTCTCCGCAGTTTCGTCGCCAGCCACCGCCGCCACCCCCGACGCCTTCCCGCTCGCCAGTAATCCAGCGCTCGCCGAGGAAAACTGACGTTTGGCGCACCCCGAACCACCGCCCACTATGCTACCACTGCGGCGAAGCCGGGCACACCTACCGCTACTGCCAGTACCGTGAGATGGGACTGCGTGGCTTCGACGTGAACGCGCCGCGTCCGCGCCCAGGTGAGCGACCTCGCGACATCGCCGACTACATAGCCGGATCGCAGTGGCAACAACGACGACCATCCCGTTCACCTTCGCCTGGCCGCTACGTCTCCCCGGATCGCCGCCAGTACACCGGCCCTAACCGGGGCCGATCCCCAAGCCCCTACCGGGGAAACTAAAGGCAGCAACCGATGGAGGTGCGGTTGCTGCACGACGCAATGCCGAAGATCCTCCTCCGCCGCCGCCGCCGCTGCCGATGACGACGACCACGACGCACGAACTTTCCCGACGTAGTCGCAGTACGCCGCCTGAGCAGAGTCTTTACGACAAAGCCTCGCCGCCGACGCGACATAGCAGCACCGGACCAAGCCGACGCAGCCGTGATCCGACGCCCCGACCTAACCGGAACGCCAGACGACGAACCACCGACCTCGACGTGATCATCGACGGCCACAGCGTCACCGCCCTAGTCGATACCGGCGCCGACTACTCTATCATCAGTGGTCTCTTCGCCGCTAAGCTCAAGAAGGTAAAGATTGCATGGGAAGGACCGGATATCCGAACAGCAGGGGGCCACCTTATAACACCGACTGGAACCTGCACGGCAAGAGTCACGATTCACAGCCAGACGTATTCTGTGAATTTTGTGGTCCTGCAGCAATGCTCGCGAGACGTCATTTTAGGCATGGATTTCCTGGACCAGCAAGGCGCAGTCATCGACCTAAGATCCAGGTCAATCACGCTGTCCACGGATAATGCAACGGCGTCAGACTGCAACGTCGCTCACAATGCCTTGAATGTGACAGAAGAGCAGGTAACCATCCCGCCACTGTCGAGCGTCATCATTTCCGTCGGCACCAAAGCGTCTACCAACTTACAAGGTGTCATCGAAGGCGACCAGCACCTGCTCCTAAACCGTCAGATGTGCGTCGCAAGAGGCATAGCCAAGCTTCATAACGGCGAAGCCAAGGTAATGGTGACGAACTTCAGCAACGAATATAGGCACTCGAATAGGGGCACGACGGTAGCACATCTAAGCGAATTTGTGGAAGCGAGCAATGCCTTCGCCCTCACCGATTCTCAGGGAGCCGCAACGTCGACAGCAGTGTCCGCGCCCGCCTTCGACGTCAATCACAGCCTTTCCAGGCAGCAACAAAAGGAGCTCAAAGCCTTACTCCACCAATACAAGGACTGCTTCTCGTCGT